GAGCCCATATGCTCAGCACACATCGGCTGGGGCTGCCGGGGGTCACCTGTGCTTCCCCAGGAGGCCCGGGGACCCGCATTGGTAGCGCAGGCAGCCCCCAGCCCCACTCCCCTCACCATGGGGAGGGTGGCGTGGCCACCCTAATTCGCAGCTCCCTGCCGCACTGACCCCCGGTCCTCCGAATTTAAGCCTGCAGACCCCTCCCTTCAGACCCCTCCCGCTTTTTTAGGCTGTCTCAGATCTATCCTGACTTATCCAGACAGGAGGAGGGAGTCCCCCCCACACATAATCGGACCAAGATGGCTCCCTCGGACGGCTCCAGTCTCACCCTCACGGACCCTCCCAGGCCTAGAGCAGAAAGTGGAGAGAGGAGCAGCCAGAGGATTTTAGGCAGAAAACACAGTGTTTCAGGGAAGTGCAGGGGAAAGGAAGGATTGACCCACACAGTTCTTCCACATTTACCCCCTTGATGTCCTTGTCTCATTTCAACAGGAGGTTTCTTCAGGCTCTGCTTAGCAAATTTTGGGCCAAGGAGCCCAAAATCTGCTGTGAAACCCTCCAGGCCCACAGATTCTGCAAGACACACGTGCCTCTTCTACAGAGAGGTACCATGGCACCAGGTGTGCTCGCTACCAATTTAGTCCTGTGGGATGGGGTCTGTCACAGCCCCCTGCGTGGGGCTGCAGGCTCCCTCCTGTTTTATTTGAATGAATGTTTGGAGGAAGCATACAAATCCCCCTCGACAGCTTTCCAAAACATCAGTCTTTTCAGAGAAAGACATGGTTCTTTTTTACCTACAAACCTCTCCCCAGTAATACAAACTAGAGCCTTGGAGTGGGAGCCACTGGCAGGGTGAGGTACACAATCACAGGTTGCACGCATCTAGTTAAATGTATAAACTGGAGACAGAAAATCCTATGGGTTTTTTCTTTTCCCCTTGAAAGCTTCATCATAGTGATATTCTGAGGCCAAACTTCCCCTGGACATCACTGCAATCTCCCCATGCCAGAATTGGGGTGTCGGATGTGACACATGATAACTGGGGTATCATTCCAGAGACAAGACCTAGGGTTGTGGCATACCCCTGGGATGCTCTTTCCCTTGTTGGAAAGCAAGGCTTGTTTCTACACTTCCATAGGTGAAAGACTGATGCCCCGAGTACCCCAAAAGCCTACAAACTGCCCGAGCCATCTCCCAGAGCATGGTCCAGAGGACTTTGGAGTGACAGGAGCCAAACAGCCTCTGATGATGCCACCAGGCCAGCAGCTCTCGCTTGGTGTTTCAAGATGGGGCTTGCAGCATAGATCCGATTTCCCTGTGTTGGAGTGGTGTTTCCACCTCTGCGTGGGATGGGAACCTCCAGGCCCATGACTCAGTGTTACCCAGATTATTTCTCAGGCTGTTTTGAACGCACAGCTGAGGGCCAGATTTTCAGAAGAGTTACCAGCATCTCTGCAAATGCTCAGCACCCACAAGCCAGCCCTGTGCTTCTGAAAACCTGTTTGCCCACACAGATGTTGAGATGGGAAGGAAGGTTTGCCAAAAGCCTGGCTCCAGCCACGGGAGCCGGCCTTTCCCAAACTTCCAGCCCAGGTGGCTGCAGGTGAAAAATGAGCCAGCCATCTGGGCGATCATAGGGTCAGCAAAACTGAATTTTCCACTATGGGCATTTAATAATATTTAAATATTTTTACTAAAATTTGTAAAAGAAGGCAGTACTTATAATGATGACAACGGGGCCATGAGACCGAATGAGCTCCACCTCTGCAAGAGGGCATGAAGTACTTGCTGGTTCAGCCTTTGAAAGTCCAAACAAGCTCCCATCTCACCGCCCTTACTCCTTAGATGGTGCTTCAGGAAGCAAGAGAG